CCCGCGCCTCCGTGGAGCGGACCTCCTGGCCAGCAGCTGGACGACGCCGTCCCTTGTGGGCCCCTCTCCCCTGCAAGGGAAGGCAGGGAGGTTTTGGAAGGCAGCTCCTGCTCTGTGTGTGCAATTTTCCGCTTCCTGCCGTCACCTCCAGAAGGGCGATGGGTAGTAATAACGCGGGGCTTGCTGTGAAGGCTGCAAGGCTCAGTGAGTAAGCAAAAGCCCAAACATAAATTGTGAGCTTTCTGAGGTGGAGCCCGCGCTGCATCTACCTGTGGACACATCTGCCAAAGTGATAATACGCAACTCTTATTTTTTTTTCCTCGATACGGAGAACCCCTTTAAAAATTCACTTGTGCAGAAATTCTCTCTTTAATTAGAAAGAGGCCCGGTGCTTGCAGAGGTAGCTGTTTAAATAAGAAATATGCAGTACTGTTTCCCTGAACGTGCAAAGACAAGAGTGTGACTGCTTCTGATACTGCTCACTAGGCATTGCTGCCCTTCACAGCTCTGTGAGTTGTTTTGAATTTGAGAAGCAATGACATGTAATATGTCATCACACATACTTTTTTAAAAAGCATAGGTGACAGCTTGGTACACCAAAAATGTGTGTCTCCATTCGTAGCCGAACTGAACTGTAAACGCATGCAAACTGTAAGAAATTTCATAGATAGTACCTGTGTTGGGTACAAGAATGCTATTTTAAAATATGCTGCTGAAAAAAGCAGGCAGGACTCTTTACTGAGCACATAGTAAAGGATAAGCAAGCACTAGAATGCTTTACGGAGATGGTATGCAACGTATATAGCAGAGGATAAACATATGGAAATGATTATTTGCAAATACCATTATCACAGGTACCCAGTGGTTCATGTTCCCTGTAGATGGCAACTCTTTTCCTTTCAACTCTCTCTTTATATTAACATTTTTTTTTTGCCCGGAACATTTTAATTATCTGTTCCACTAATTAAATGATATGTTAGCACATTCATAATTTGCTCCCACCCAAACATTACCGCTGCAGTAGCATGGCTATATGAATGCATTCTTTGTTCTGACTTCTCGCTAGATACGTTGCTGATGTATGTAACATTTAGACATAAGCATCAACATTCTGAGGCTAGATGCACTGAAGGATTTGGACATTGATGTCCTGGAGTGGAATCCTTGGCTCTGAATTAGACACGTTCCCTATGCAGTAAGATAGTTCCATACTTCAGATTAGGATTTGCAGCAGCCACACTGCAAAAAGGAGGCAAGCCTTAAAATAGCTGGTAAAATGTTTTAAAGAGAGGGTCGAACCTTAAGTTCATTTCTTCTGTGTAATTTAATCATCTAAATTGCGATAACAGGGAGGTGTCAGTCTTGATCTGAAACCTATTTGAGTTTGGGGCCTAGGTGGCGCTCCCAAAAATGGAGAAAGGTGGTAATTTTTTTTTTTTCCTCTGAGATACAGAGAAAAAGGAAAAAGAGGAAACTGTAGGCTTTTATTCAGGATGATAGTCTGTATCATTCATGATATAGAAGGCTGACATTCAGTTTTTTCTTCAGGCTGAGGGCTGCCACATGGATATTTCACCCTTCTGAATTAAGTACCCTAATCTTCAAATACTTTAGCAGGACGTTTAATAGAACTGTCTAGGAAGGTGAAATTTATAGGTGTGCGTCCTCATCAGGTTTCCCATGTTCTGATTGACCAAAGGATGGATGCTACTTGCTCCTCTTCCAGACCTCTCTTTTTTTAAGTGACAGATGCGGTTGCTAGCGTGTGTGGAGTGTGATCTTACAGATGTGTGCTAGGCATGTTCTGAGTTTGCCTCTAAGCAGGAATTTAGATAGAGGGTGCGTACACTCAGATGGCACCCTGATTGCCAGGTGATGGATGGCGATGTGCTCAAAATCTGAAACCTTTGAGGAATTTAAAAAGTTAGATGCCTGGGAAGCTTGAGATTTTGAGGATCACACCTTTGAATTTAGGTGCTTAAATTTCCCATTTCAGAAGCTCTGCCTGCTATGGATGTGTCCAAGTTGTACTGGAATTCTTTAGTGGAACAGGGACTGGAATCTGCATCTTCCAATAATTTAATCAGTTATTCTAATATATTCGGTCTGAAATAATGAATTTGCTCCATTTTTACTGATACAAATGAACTTTCTTTTCTACATAAATTATCTGTATGTATTAGAAAACAAATCTATTTATCCTGCTTTGCATGTTTCAGTGCATATCAGGTGCTGCGTTTTGGCTTTAGGTATGGTGTTGTTTGTTTTCCCCTTCTAAGGCTTGGTAGTTAACTGGTCGGGTCAAGGATTGCAAAAACTGGGTCCAGCCTTACCCTGCGATGCTGATACTCACACTCTGATTCTGGACAAAAACCAAATAATTAAATTGGAACACCTGGAAAAATGCAGGAACCTGATGCAGGTCAGTGTTACTTGACTTGAATTTGCTGTGAAATAATGGACCTGTGATGCTAATTAAAATATTTCTGCTTTAAGGCTGCACTTTGAAATTGAAATTAGTTAGCAGTTACTGTCTTTATAGAAAAGTAAATGATGCTAACTGAAATAGAAAGCTTTTTTTTTCTGTGTAGCCCTACAGTTGGCAGTGGTGTACAGTTGTTTCCCTGGTTACCTAGGTAACTAGAAGTACACTCAATAAATCCTTATAGAGAGGTGAGACGAGGAACACTTAGAAAAGCCACCGACAACCCTAATTTAGAAACTTGTTTGCTTTTTATTACTTGATTTTCATAACATTAAATGTAATTTCATCTTTCTTTGTGTAAGTCTAAATATGCAGACATAGGCGCTCTTTCCCCTCCTTCCCCTTCACAAAGAAGGAGGATTAGTAGCTGTAATTTGCAGAAAGACAAATTGCAAGGGTTCAGGGGACTTAGAATGTTTCATGAAGTATCCCTCTAGAAAGAGAACTCCCAGCTGAGGTGCTGCACCCTCTCACCAGGGTGTGGCTTCCTCCTGTGTTTTGCATGCTTTGCAAATCAGTCCTCTTCAATGTCCTCTTTTTTTTTCCCCCCCATGTAGTTTGGTTTTGTTGTATTGTTTTTCCAAATAAGTTGTTATTGTCTATTATAAAAAAGAAATAAATACCAGGACTTGTGAAAGCTTTCTCATACCACTTTTTTTAAGGTTAGTCCTAAAACCTTAGATGTAGGATAGATCTGGGCAATGGAAGTGCATGATCAAGTAAGTGATTTACTGTACCTACCTATCCATAGCAATGTAGATATAGATATATGTATGTATGTAAGCATAAAGACTTAAAAATACACGCTTATTAGAATGTACCTCTTGATAACCCTTAGAATGTGGTGCATGCTAATTCTAATTAACGCATAGTGGTGGAAAGAAGCCATGTGGAATAGGATGAAATACAAATAGCAAATCAAAAAATGTGAAATAGGAGGGTTCTATGTTTTCTTGTTAACTTGTCAAATCGTATAAGCCCTAATGTTGCCAGTGCTTATGCTTAACTGTAATACTAGCAGTAGTCCGTTTACATTCATGAGGCTGTTAATGGTAGCGATGTTAAGCATATGCATGATGCTGGCAAAATTCAGAGTATAATCCCTCAGAGATAAAGCTGTACAAGTCCAAATAGCTATCACTGAAAGTGCTTCCAGACAGATGGTGAAGAAATCCCCTGAATAGTTCCTAGAAACCACCTAAGCTGAGGTAGGAGTGAGTTTTTTGTTGTGATTTGTTCTTCAATAACATTAGAGAAATGGAGAAGTTAAAATGCGCATAGCTGCAACCCAGGATTGATTGAAACAAAGCAGTTGTGATCACCACACAATAAAATAATATGATTATATGTTTAATGTCTAGAAGTATATTTCTGTTTTGGATTATGCCCTTCTGAATTCTTGATCGTTAGTGCAAATGTTAGCTCTAAGTCAGGACTTCCAGGTTTATCCTTAACTAGTTTGTGTTTGACAATTCTGTTAGCACTTAGCAAAACGTGAGTTCTAGCAACTGGTTTTCTGAGATTCATGTAAAATGTGTTTTGTCCTCTGCCATGTTGACAGCAAGTAAGACTTCGCACCACAAATGGTGCAACAATTTGCAAAATGGCTTGGCAATTCACATTAAAAAAGCTTATTTTCATATAAAACGATTCCTCATTAATTTTCTTCCTTTTGCCAGATGGTGCTAGGAGGAGGATTTCTCTAGGTTTGCAGAGTGAATTGTGAAGACAGCTAGCTTTGATCAATAACTCATTTCCTTGCTCTTGCCATTCCTTGTGCCTGAGTTACTATTTGCTTGAAAATGGAAAATATCCATTGAAATCATTTCTCTTGGAGTGGATTTTTAGCCTTTAAAAATAAAACCTAGACCGTTCTGTCTGTATAGCTTAATAGCTGAGACTGTTTCTTTTGTTTATGTGTCAATCTGCAGCTGTCTGTAGCCAACAATCGTTTGGTACGAATGATGGGTGTAGCAAAACTGACTAAGCTCCGGGTGCTAAATTTGCCTCATAACAGTATTGGATATGTGGAGGGGCTAAAGGATCTGGTGCACCTGGAGTGGCTGAACTTGGCCGGAAATAACCTGAAGGTAAAGTATTTCGTTTTTACACTTTTCCCAGAATCTGTTTTAGTGGAAATTTGGAAAATGCTAGAAAGAACGTTCTTACAAGGTTTTATTCTGTTCCACTTCAAGAAATCTGCGTTTTTTTTCTGGTTTTAATGGGAACAAAAGTTAAGGCTTTGTGTCTACTAGTATATTAAATTGAGGAGAACAAATTTTGGACAAGAATTATCAGGGGAAGGGAGAAGTGATTTAACATTAAAATGCAATGAGGTTTGGGAAATTGTCCCCAAAATAGGAAAGGAATTATCTTCTTTAAAATCAAACTATGTAGAAGCATAGTTAAATTTGTTAGTTTTTTAGATTACTTATCCAATGTTTTTAGCTTCCAGGATGCTTTCTAATCGTTGATATCTGCTTCTGTTTAATGACCAAACAAGAATTACTGTAATTGACTCTCTCTTCTTTTAATAGGCTATTGAACAAATCAATTCCTGTCTGTCCCTTCAGCATCTTGATTTGTCAGACAACAACATATCTCAATTAGGAGATCTCTCCAAGCTTATGTCTCTAAAGGTAGATGCTATTTTATATCTCTCTTTGTGGCATTTTTTGCAAAAAGAAATTTGCTTTGAAAATCGCTGCCTGGTAAAGCATGCGTTATTCAAATGCTAGCTCTTAAAGCACTTCTAGTTAATCACTATGACTTCTGCAAGGAAAAATGTAAGAATTCTTTCCTGTGTTTTCAAGATGCAGAAACTGAAAAAGTGATTCCTATGTGCTCACTATGATTTTGACCTATATACATGGTGAGAACTTATAGCTCTCAGTTGTCCTGATCCATGACTCAGGACAAGAGAAAGCATATGTTAACTCTTTCACTGTGAACACCACATAGAAAAAATATTTCCAAATCTACAATTTGTACTGATGAATATACTTTAATTCTGCATGTTATAATGACAAAATGTTGCTTTAAAATTTAAAAAACAATTTTCCCTCACTGGAATAAGCAAAAAATCATTGTGATGACACCATAGTTCTTCTGTTTGGTGTGTATTCTGTACGTTGATCAAACAAGCATACACTTCACCACTGCATTTTTATTTTATAGACTCTCTTGCTACATGGAAATATTATAACCTCACTTCGTACTGCCCCTGTTTGCCTACCTCAGAATCTGACTGTTTTTTCTTTGGCAGAAAATGAAATCAGAGACTTAAATGAGGTAAGGCATAGAGGATACGTGACCTTGTCTTTAGGTAGACTGAGAGGAGATAGCTGAATCATTCTTTTAAGGTAAAAGTATCAAGGGTGTAAGTAAAATGGGCTTTCTTCTTTAAAATAATCCATGCTTGTCCTTAAAATAAACCTTTCTTGATGATGATGATGATGATGATTAAGGGGTGTCAGAAGTATACTCTGAAAACTAAATCCATAGACTACTTCTCATGATTGCCTAGAGATTGAAAACTGAGCTGATTAGCTACTACTGCAGAGGCTGTCTGCAAATTATCTGTGTAGAATGGAGGTTTAAAATGCACTTGTTGCAGCTGAACTTTTGGGGCTCATGTCTTATTTTATCTCTTTATCAAGTACCACATAAGAGAAACAAATACTATGGCTGTGGTTTTGGGAGGTGCTGGTGGTGGTATTTGAAATAAGTAGTAGCCAAATTTGTCAGACTTTCCTGTTAGTCTTATTTTTATGAAAGATTTTTCCCTTTAAAATAGGACAGTGTTTCTCAGCTTTTTGGTATGCCTTTGTTTTGTCAACATCTCCATGCCTCATATAGTGAAGTGGAGTAGTAGAAACATTATATTTTTCTACACATCAAGCCACTACCCAGATTTTAAGTGAAGCTAATGGTTTACAAGGGCTGTAGTTGTTACAGGAGAATTAATGGGAAAATGGCAGTGGTTGATAGAAGCTCTTTTGAAAATTTCCATGTTCAACAAGCAAATGTGATTTTCAGTGATTAGTAATGATATTATTTTGTGTAAGATGTCTAGCCATAACCAGCAGAAACCTTGTACGTTCTGTAAGCGTTTACTGGTTCTCTTTGGTTAACGAAGATCTCTTATTTTCTGCAGGTTTCTTTCCTGGCTTCTCTTTCTCATTTGGAACAGTTATCAATTATGAACAATCCTTGTGTGATGGCCACACCTTCTATCCCTGGCTTTGACTACAGGCCATATATTGTCAGCTGGTGTCTGAACCTTAGAGTTCTTGATGGATATGTGATTTCTCAGAAGGAAAGGTAACGTTATGTTTTTAAATCCTTAAAAGTATTGAGTGAGGTTTGGCTAAGCTACAGTTGCATTTTTATTGTAATAAAAAATGGGAAAGTGCAAATGGTATGAAATAGTGTTTTTCTTGCTAATGCCCGTATGAGGTACAGCCCAATTAACATTGTTGTTTTTGTGAGGTTTTTTCTTTTTTAATCTTTATTAAAAATTAATATGTATTATTATGTAAAACCACAGGTTTATTTAAGCAGAAATTCAAAGTTAAAGGATATTTTATCACTGGACTCAAAGTAACACTTTAACAAATTGGTATCAATTTATCAGCAGTCTGTTATTTCTTCCAAGCTTACAACCTCTTTGACTTTGCAGATTAAGGAAAATTAGCAGACGTTAAAGGTACTGTCTTGGGGAGAGCTCAGACATGCCCTTTTATAAAGTGTCTGACTTGCGTTCCTGTTTTTAGGTCTGGGGTATCTTTTATCAATTAGTTAAATTTCATTTGGCTTACATCACTTTTTACTATGTCATGATGTTACTGTGGTATGTGTATGACAGTATAGATGGACTGTTTTGATGTTGAGAATTTTAAGACGACAACTGTACAAATTTTCCCAGAAAATATCCTAATTATCCAGCGTAAACACGTTCTTATCCAAGGCATACGGTCCTATTTTCCCAGTGAATAAAAGCTAAGTTAAAGACTTTTTGGTTAAAGATAAACCAAAGTTTCTGTTTGTCCATATGTTTCCTCATCTAATGAGGTTCCCAGCCATCTGCCTGTAAGAATTCTACAGAAATTTTTTATGACCAACGTTCTCTGGTTATTTCAATAAGAAGATACAAAAATCACTATCTTTCTGGGCTTTTCTGTATTAGGGGACGTTTTGAACGCTTAGGCTATGGATGGATTATATTAAATGTTCCCAGACCGAAGAACATTTCACTTAGAATCGGGTTTTAATTACTGACTGTTCTCAATATAAGATTTTCTCTCTGTGGCTGTTCTGCATGTTTGTGTGAACTTTTTCTGTTTCTGTGAACGTTTTTGCTGATACATTTATTCACACAAATGTGTCTTCCGTGCTCAAAGACCACAGGTGTAGCTAAAGCAAAGACTGCTCAGTGTTTTCAGAGGATTGTTTGTTTCAAACCTGTTTGCGTGAGGAGTCCTTTACTTACTGTGCTGGTAATGAAAATAGCAGACCCTCTTGCTCCTGCTCATGGTCCCAGTTCAGGTCAGATTTGTAGATTAGCTCTTAGGTGGCAACAAGAAGAAGAGTAATCAAAGGAAAGTTAGGATTTTTACGCCAGGCATTAATGATGATTGTTTTTCCCCTTGCCAGTTTGAAGGCAGAATGGCTTTACAGTCAAGGTAAAGGAAGATCATATCGACCTGGACAGCATGTTCAGTTAGTCCAGTACTTGGCTACTGTTTGTCCTCTTATATCTGCATATGGTCTCCAGACTGAAGAGGATGCCAAACTGGAAAAAATATTGAGTAAGCAAAGGTGAGAACTTTTTGTTTCTCCATTGTTAGAAAGCTTAATTTGGAATATGATTATATATCTTATTTTCTGTTAGATAAAATAGCATTTCCTGTTAAGCATCTAAAGCAAAAGTGAGGGCTGGAGATGGGAAGAAGAATGGGGTCACAAGATGTGTCCCAAAGGGGACTGAAGAGCAAGGCAAGCAGCAGAAAGCATTTTCCTGATTGCTAGGCCATCTGGAGGCGAATTCTGTTTGTTTGTTTGTTTTTTTAATCTGTGGTCTGTAAGACATTGGAAAAAAAAAATTTGTGGTAGGGTTCTGATTTAAAGTAGAAAACATAACATACTGAGATTTATGCCACACAAAGAAAGTGAAGAGGACGTCAAAAAATAGCTTGGACTTTTGTTCTTTCTGTAAATTAAGACCGTTGTTGTACTGCTGCATAAGTAGCCACTTTTTCGTTGTTAGTGTGTTCTTTTGTTTGTTTTAAGGTTAAGATTGTCCTTTGAGGGACACTGTTACTGATGATGCTCTTGGCGGGCTCTGTACAAGCGCCAAAGGTCTGGCTTCCGTCAGCAGAGGCCGCTATGGAGCCTGCTGGTTCTGCCAGCACTAGCTGTTTGGCTAAGGACTGCACAAGGAAATTAGGATAGTTATAGTGTTGCACTTTCCTCCCATGAAAAGGAGAACTAATTGGGATTAAAAAACAGGTACTTATGCATACAGGCAGGAGACTCAACTCAAGATCAGGGCAGGAGACTCAACTCAAGGGAGGAGGCTAGATAGGTGGCATAGTCTGGGTAGAAAGTTGGGCAACAGAAGTGTTGCAGTTAGGGGCAGAGTGGCATCTCATCCAAGAGGACTGGCCTGGAGTGTCTAGAAGAAGAGGAAGTTGCTGCACACGTTGTCAGTGTGGGCAGATGTCTGGGAGGAAGTTACAGAAAGCGTTGGGACGATTTCAAGGAGAAAGCTGGAAATTCGCTCGTGTGATTATTGTTCTTACTGTACTAAGTGCTCTGATATTCACGTGATGTTGCTGGGAAGAATTCAGAAAGGTGGCTTGCAAGATGTGACTTTTTTAAAAATTACAATTTGTAAGGCAGTTGGACTTTCTGACATCTACCTCATGATTTTTCAATTTAGCTGGGTCGAAACAGCTGCTGTGTTTTGTCAGATTGTAGAGGATGATGGTATACTTGCAGTAATATTTTAGTTGTCAATTGCTATTAGGATTTTGGCCACCTAGTGAGAGGGACACCCTTTCCTTGATTCAGTCATTTTCAAATAAAGAAGACTCTCTCTCCATTACTCAAACTCCTCTATACATACAAACATAGTGTATCTTGCAGCAGACACTTAAAATATCTGTGTACCTTGCTTGTGCATACAGCTACTTTATGGTTTTCAGTCTACAGTCAGAATTGCATGCTGGATTTTTTTTTTTTCTTTTCTGATACATGTACTTGGAGAAAGGAGCAGAAAGAAGGGGAACAGGAGCAACCTAAAATGCCTGAGAACTGTGGCAAGAAGCCAGGTTGTGCAAGTCCCTACTTTGTGAGTGGTCCTGTTAGTATGCTGTAGGTGTAGGGATCTCTATAACTAGCCTCTTAGAATGGTTTCATCAAATGTTTTCCTCTAAAGTAGTACTTTTTTAGATACCTTCTGTGCCAAAAATGTTTAAAGGAAATATAAAATCTATTGGAACTCTGTGCTTAGGCTGCACCAGAGGCAGTTGATGCATCAAAGCCAAAATGAAGGACCACCTCCATCTTCCACTCCCAGCAAAGCACTGCCAGTTACTTATGAACACAGCAGTCCAGCTCAGACGCCACAGATAGTTCTTGAAAGTGGTAAGATGCGAATCTTCTCCTGTTTTCCAATCTGTGGAAATAAACTAGATATTTTTTGAACGTAGTTAGCCATGTGGAGAGAATTTCAAAGCAAGGAAGGCCCTGTTATTTATTAATTTTTGAACTGAAGGAATACTTTGCTTTCTAACAGTATATTCTGTGCTTATTCATATCTTGAAATGCTAACAAGATTATTCATTAAGCAATAACCGAAAGCCAGTACACTAAAAAGTTGGTACTTTGACTGTTGCATCTCATGAAAGTGTAATTTCTCTGGGGAAAGCAGCTTATGCAGTTTACTGTACCCAGTATTTGTAAGGTTTCTGGATATTACTGTGAAAAGTAATTATAATCCCTGTTGTTATTTAGCAATGACTATCGTTATTAGCATTTTAGTTCTTACTACTTGATAAGAACCTGGATGTGTATCTAAAACAGTATGGATCTCTATGGATTGAAATAGGATACGTTATTGAAATACCATGTGATTTTTTTGAATATGGCTTTCTGCTGGTCTAGAACCTGTCATCCAGAAGAATTCTTGGGTTGGACCAAGTGCAAACGATGATCATTCCTATGCAGTAAAGAATACTTTTCCTCTGGAAAGAGGTCGTTGCAAGGAGCTATACCTTGAAGATATACAGACTGATGAGGACAAGCTAAACAGCAGCCTTCTATCCTCGGAGTCTACTTTTATGCCTGTTGCTTCAGGACTGTCTCCGGTGTCTCCTACGAGAGACCTGAGGCTACGTGGAATCAGTTTGGACCTAGAAGAAGATGATAATACAGTGATTGAACCTGTGAAAGATGTTAATAGGGAAGAACAAACTAACAAGCAAGAAGAAGCTTCTTGGGTTACACGAGAGCACTCCAGCAAAGCCGTGGAAAGTGTGGAAACTCAAGAGACTATTAAAGAGAGTAGGTTGTTGCCATCTCCTGTTCCAGTAACAGCTAACCCGACCGCTAATAGTAGCAACAGTTCAGCATCCTCTGAAGATTACGTTTTGCGTAGCCACCCCAGCACATCACTAGGTGCTGAGTCCGTAGTTACAACTCTTTGCGCTAACCAGATGGCAGGAGAAAATTCTGATTTGTTAGCTGCTGTTAATCAAGGTGCAGCTGAACTGCAAAGAATGACTAAAGCAGCTACAAAGCTTCAAGCCTGCTGGAGAGGGTTCTATACGAGGAACTACCATCCCCGAGCCAAGGAAGTGCGGTATGAAATTCGACTAGGCAGAATGCAGGCGCACATCATTTGCTTAACTGATGAAATACAAAAGTAAGTTGAGATCTTGCTGTGCATTTTCAAATCTCAATCAATATAATCAGGGTTTCAGAATAGGTATAAACTGATCTCGGTATAACTGCACACCGTAGTTCCTAGTACCAGTAATATAAAACTGTGATTACAGTAGAGGGTCACTTCCTATAAGATATGCACAGATTTGCACAAAACTTCTCATCTTCTCAGAGTGCCCTATAGGAACGGGTTGAGTTAGAAGAAATATTTCTGTCCTTCTAGGACCAGGACTTGGATGTTCCAGTGCATAATCAAAATAGCAAATGTAAAGTGTGGGGTTTTTTTTGTTGTTTTGGGTTTTTTTGACTTCTGGAAATTAGAGAGCCTCTAAATTAAATTTCAGTTTTGAGATTCATTTCACTGCTACTGATGAGAGGGATTCTCTGTGCCTTGCATGATACAATTTTAAAACATTCTGTTCTTGGTTCAGTTTTCTGATCATATGAATCCGTGTTTGAAGATTGTTATCAAAGTTTCTCAATTTATAAGATATAGTTTGAGGATTTAGTTAATATTGGATGTTGATGACAGGACAAATTGCAGTAGTGGCTAAATGTTTGGCTCTGCACTTTCTTTCAAGAGAGCTGTTACACGAGCAGGTATTTTTTTATGTAGCCTTGTTAATCTTGTTACCCAAATATTGCTTACTTAAGCTGCATATCTTCGGATGTGTGTTCTTGTAGGCTAAGAAAAGAAAGAGAGGAAGATAAGATTCAAAGACTTGTACAGGAGGAGGCAGTCAGATTTCTTTGGAACCAGGTAAATGGCTTTAGTCCTCTTATTTTTGAACTTACAAATTAATTCAGAAAACATTATTTCATATTGTAGATATTGAGGTGGTAATGAGTATGGTTTGTCCTTTCAGTGATGAGCTGGGTGGCTTGTTAGGATATATCTGCTATGCTGTTTGCTTTACTAGTATTCTGGGGAAAAAGAACGTTTGGAAGTATTAACACAATAAAGTATTTAGTATTAACACAAGAAACTATTTGTGTTGCTAAATGCTAAAATAAAGCTTGGAATGAGAAAGACAAAATGGAAGGAAAGCTAAATAAGCGTAGTGTGAAGGAGTAATGTGACTGCTAGATGCCCAGGGTGAATGAAACAAAGTTCCAAGCTATGTTGCTTGTGGACAACTCAGTTCTAAAGCAGACAAGTTATTAATGCATCTTTTAATAAGCTGTTCTTCCAAAACCTAGGCAGATTGCTTTCTTAAACATGGATTATTCCATAAACATACTGCATCTTTTCTTTTTTAAGAGCAGATTCCTTTTTTCTTCAGTTACTTGAACTGGGAGACACCCAATTTGGCACCTCCATTGTCTTAAAACCCATTATTGAACAGTGGGAAGAATATATTTTCCCTTCTTTAAGGGAATGTGAACTTTTTGTTAGTTCACCTAATCTTAAATTTTATACTAGAGCTTTGTTGCTGATGGCAAGAAATCCTCCAGAAATCGAAGTACTCTTCATGTTGTGTTTCATAATGATACACTCTCTATCCTTTACAGGTGAAATCCCTTCGACAGTGGCAGCTTTCAGTGACCCAAAATTTAGGTACTACTTGGCAACCTGGGGTCCCTTCAGCCAATACTTTTTGTCCCTCTGAACCAGCTATTCGATCATCCACGCTTCAGCAAGAAACCTCACCAGATGTTAGTTCTGCTTGGTTAATCCCAGCTAGTGATGCTCTTCCAGAAAAATCTTCACTGCAGTTCCCAGATTCTGGTTTTCATTCATCCGTGGCTGATCAGACTCATGCCAGTGACTTGTGTAGCTCTGCAAAGAGTTTTACAGAAGGAGATGAAAGCTTTCTTTCTATGGAGACAGTCAAACAGTGTGGCAACTCTGTTTCAGAGTATCCTTCCGATGTTGAGGATGGCCAGGGAAAACATGGGGAAAGTAAAGAGAGCTCTAATAGCGAACAGGACAACAGTCTTCTACAACAGTATTTGAAATCTGTTCAGCAACTGGAAGAGGCTGATGATGGGACCAACTGTGATGATGGAACAGAGGGTAGTGACCCACAAATTGCTATTTCAGCAGAAAAGCAAGATTTTTTGTCTGATATTGTCTCTCTAGATGTCCCTCAAGGTACATCTTCCCCTGAACAAGGTGAAATCAGTCAGACGCCAGAAAGCTGCAAACTGAATTCAGGAATGGTAGAAGGGAAGCAAACAGACTGTGATTCTTCATTTCAGATGCTGCATGTTGGCATAGCTGTATAGTAAACTCAGTTCCATGAAGGACAAGGGATTCCATTTCACTTTTTTTTTTTTCTTTTCCCCATTTATACAACACTTGCATTTTTCGTGTGTGCTGTTTTAGATTTTAGACTTTAGTTACCAATGTATGTTTTAGTTACCATTTTACTAATCTTACTGAAGACTGACACTAACTATGCTAACCTCAAATCAGCAAAGTTCTTAGTGGGGGTCATGATGCACTTTATTTTTGCATATCTAAATGATATCCTAATAACTGGGTTCCATGAAATAAATTCTGAAGATCGTGGGGATATTTGCTGTAAACTCAGTTTAGTGACTGTGTTAGTGAATCTTTGAAATTTTTTCTAAAAAGCAGGCTTGAGTTCTTACTCTGCGAAAAGAAGGAACCAATATGGGAAGACACTGAGCTAATATAGACAGTGTGTGCATGTATGGATACAACCTGAGGAAAAGGGTGAAAGCACTTGCCTTTTAGACTTTTTACTGACTTAAACAAGAGTAATTTTGTCAGTATTTCAGAGACGGGTTTCTTCAAGGTGGTGTTCCAAATCAGTGACTTTTTTGTCCTTTAGCTGAAGTTGCTGGCAAGGAATTAGGTTAGTTACAGAGGCACTGAAACAGGGACTTAAAGGAGTCAAACCCTAAGGAATTTCAAACAAATTTTGGCCTTTGTTTCCCCTCGGGTGTAATTTCCATGTTCTTTCTCAGGTAAGACTCAAAGTGGAACCAGTAGCAGGCTTTTTTAAATAAGAATTTCAAAAGGCCATGTGAGCTGGGAACGTAGTTTTCAAGACTGCACTGCTGGGTTACGGTAGCAAACTTGGTGTGGTGACACGTGTTTGGCCTCCAGGAGGATGGCACTGTCATCTTGGGACTGGGATCTGCATGACTTCTAAGACATCAGTTTGTTTGATGTATCACAACTCCATCTATCAAGTATAAACATTAAAAGGAAATTTCATGAGTTAAAACTATTTCTTGCCCTCTCTGGTTTTTTTTTTGTTGTTGTTTTTCTCCTTACGTTCACTGTTTGACATTCTAATTAGATATAGATAAAAAGCTGTGTTTCTTGTCTGTTGGTGAATGCGCTAAGTTAACTAGGCTATGCTTTCCACTTAAACCTTGGGCAAGTAATAGCATCTGTATTTTGCCTAGCCATTGCTATATTTTTTTAAATTAAAAGTGATCAGTTATCTTAGTATACCACAAAAGCGGCAAGGGAAATCTGCTTTGCCATATAATTGGCAATGGACGTTAGTAAAATAAAAATTAACTAACTGACCCGTAGAAGTCACAACCTGAAGTTTGCTAATATTGCACTTTGCAATGTGAAAGACCAGTGCCTCAACAGTTTGCTTGTGTTCGTTCCTCTGAGGTCAATAGCGTCAGTCATACAAATGCAGCTATGAAGGATCATATGCTAACTCTCTGAATCCACAGACTTTAACTTTTGGTGCTACTGTGTCATTGAAATCAACTAGTGCTTTTTTAAAGCAACTCTTTTGACCATGTTACCATATAAAATTGTTTAATTTTTGTAAAAGCCTTGGTTACCTGTCTGTTTTAGGTTCCGAGCTGAAATTCACCCTTAATCAAGAGTCTGACTTGAGGCCAATGTACTGAGTCCTCAGAGCAGCCTTTACTGAGAACATAAGTGGCATATTGGACTTGTACCAACTATCTGCCCAGTGGTGAAGTTCACCTTGAAAGAATAAAGCTTACCTTTGTGGATACAGTAGCCATCCTCTTTTTTTTTTCTGAAAGTTCAAGGAGATTAACTTCTTAGGAGAGTTGTTACTACAGTCAGGCTGGCACTTGACCGTGGTTAGCACAGATGAGAGCATTTAAAAAAATACCGAGGTGGTAGATCTTTAATGTGCTGTCTTTCTAACCCAGACTAGTTTACAGCGTATTTATGGCATAACAGTATTCATAATTAGATCTTAGGGCATGGTTGTGCAGTGCCGTGTAGATACCCAAATAAGCTTGGGTATTGGAAGTGGTATAGTTGCATTAAGGAATCGCAACTATACCTAATTAGCTGTGCAGAGAAGTATGTAGGCTACGTGGACATGCCCTTGTCCCCTGAAGGAGATCAAAGTTCTCAACTTTAATTAAAATTTGTTACTGTTGGAGATCTCTGCAGTTTACAGGATTTGGCTCTTTGACTATCAATCTGTTACAATAATCTCATGTAACGTCTTAAAGAGCCTTTCTTTGGTTTATTGAGAGAGAAATTATTTCTGTCTGTGAATCCGTTGTTGGAACCGACTCTAGAGGCAGTTGTCCGGGTAGAAGGAACAATGAGTTCTCTCTTTAGTGGCAGAGTGCTGGATTAGCCTGTGTAAGACCAGGAAAAGCTAGACTGCTGTTTGGATGAAAATATCACTTACTGAAGACACTGAGGCACTACAAATATTTTGTTATTTTGCATTAGTGCCTCTTTTGCTGCAGAATTAGAAAGCGGAGAAACAATTTCAATTTTGGAGGTGTCAAAGGGTGATAATTTGATAAAAGTAATTTTTCTTGGAAGCTTGAGTTGTTTCTTGGCATTTTCTCTATTCATAGCGTTTACAAACAAATACATGAAGACTTATTTCAAATAATGCCTAGATCAGCTGTTGGCTTTTCTAACTTGTAGCCTGTATATCCAAAATTGATTTTGTGAAGATATAGGAAAAAAAAGTGTGCCAATGTATACTCAGCTTTATCTTACCACTTCTTGGGAAGGTTTGAAATATGAAAGATCATTTTCTGATGTTGTGAAATTTATCTTGCATGTGTAGAAGGTCAGTTGCCTAAATATAGCATATAGAAATCATATAGAAAGGTGAAGTTTTGGATTATTTTCTTCAGGGTTAGAAGTAATTAGTTTGTACATACACAAAAAATATTTTTGTCTCTTTTTTACATTTGAAAAACAAGGAATTTAATTTTATGTGTACTTAAAATATGGCTTCTTTCAGACCGTGCTGAGCTCTCCAAGAATCACTTTATGGAAGTATCATAGATTAATTTGTGGTTTAATGTTTATTCTTGTTTGTCTGCATAAGACTCTTTTTTCCCCTTTAAGTTAGGAAATATTTCTCCTTTGATACGTATACACAACTCCTTTTGGAGTTGATGGAAATTTCATAAAGAAGGTCTAACATATGAAAGGCCTAACATATGAAAATCTTAAGTCTGTAGTTTTCCTGCTATAAGATTTTATGTCTTCAGTACTTCCCTTTTGCAAAGCTTTAATTTCAGCAGACAAATGTGCTTTCTAGATGGAAAGCTTTTATTTTGCGCTTGTGCCATGGACTGATCCTCCCATGCTGTTGGAAGAGCTTCCTGTTACTGGTTATTTGTCAGGCAATGTTGTCAGCTCTGCCACTAGTACAGTTTAGCTACTCCCTTATTTGCTTCAGTAAAATTAGCTAAATTTAGATAGATATCTCAGACTATCTTATCTAAACTGATAAGCCAGCAGAATGGTTTTGTCCAAAGTGAAGTAGTTGGCATGCATGCAGCTTTGTGAGCTAGTCTGTGGCAGAAATGACTCCTTGACCTGTTCTGAAGGTGGGGACAAAGGGGAAGAGAGAAATGCATTTATGTGTTTTTTCAGGCTTAGTCTTTATTGATGATAACATCAATTCTGTTACGATTGCTACTCTGTTGTGTTTCACAATTGTGTTATGGTTTACAGATGTCTCATTCTTCCATGTAATCAAGCATGCAGTTTTTCTGCTGTATGTAGTACTTTATAGACTGACTCTATTCAGATAATAGTTTGAAAAAAATAGAAGGATATCATTAAAGAAAGCCTGTTAGCATTTTATATTTCAAAGATGTTGGGTTTTTTAAGGTAGTAGGAGGATAATGAGTCCTCTGTATGTTAGATAACGTCTTTCCTCCAAAAGAAGAAACACAAAAAATGCCTGATTAATGAAAATCAGTAAATTTCTGTTTCTGCCTTCTTCCGTGAAATGTGTTTAATGGTCACAGCTCTTTGTGCCTAAAACTGTAAATGAAATGAACGGGAGAATTACCTGCTGAATGAACGCAGCAAACCTAACATATAACCGTCGTGACTATGCTGTGTGGTGCTATTGTATAAACAAAGTAAGGGTGTGTTGCAAGGATGGGATTTTATAAAAGGTGTAGTCTCCTAAGTCTGCTTTCATTTCCTTAAAGGAAGCAGAGTCCTATTTGAGTGCTTATGAACTGACTATCTAAATTGGGATTTTATCATATTTACATCTTCAAAAGTGTTCTTATTATCACAGAGCAAGAAGGCATTAAGACTGCAAGTTTGATTTTGTTACTTCCAAAATCAAATAGCTTTCAGCAAATATTTGTGAAACTCCTTGCTAAACTAAATTGTGGAAGTCTAACCGTTTTATTTATAGTTAAGTTCCTTAAATAAACAACCTCAAACCCTACTGCATGCATGCAACAACTTAAATAATGCACTTAGGAACCAGTCTGTGTGTATATAAAAAAAATCTTTTTTCTTTTTCCCTGAATAATGTTGTATGTTATTGAGCTTGCAAGTTGTTCCTGATTTTTATGAATTTGTATATATTGTCTGAAGAACTCCCAAGTTTAATTTCTACTTGTAGCAGGTTGTTTGAGGAACAAAAATGGAAGATACATTCCTTTGAGACTACTTGGGAATATTTTACTGGATTTGAAGTTATAGTGTCTCTCACACAGACAATGCTTCCTCCTGAGAGGATAGCATTGTAGCATTTAGTGGAGACTCACTGAATGACAATAAAACATACAATTGGTCTGTTTCCCTGCTTTTAACTAGTGGAAAAGACGCTCTTTTTCCTTTGCATTAACTTTCCTTTTTATTTTATTTTTCCTTTGTTTCCCCCTCTTGAGGACTGTGCCACCCACATAAATGAACATCAAGTTCTGGTGAAATCTTCCAGAAAGTCGTCTTTTGCAGTTATAGGTTATTTTCCCAGTGTGGCTTTCTAGGACAAGTTATTGCAAAAAAAGCATTTGTTTTCTAGATGCCTGCCTTGATAGTCAGGACTTTTTGTGTCTCTTTTTAAATGCTCTCTTTGTTCTGATAATGGAGAAGCACAGGATCCTTTACTTGGAAAACCATAAAACAGTATTTATCAGGAAAGGTGCTTTACCTCTTGGAAAGTACCATGTCAAACTTTATTGTATACAATAAGAGCTCTGAATAAGAAACTTCTTTTACAGCTTCATTACATTTATAAATACATGGGCCAAATTCACTTGTAGTGTAATTCTACTGAACTAAATTTTGCTGAGTCTTTCACAGTAGTATTCTACCTCTAAACTAGAATCTGAAAAAAGAACAATTAGACCTTGATTTGTCTTTCTACTTCTCACTGTTTTCTGTGAAGAATGGTGGGTGGTTAAATTGGTACAGTTCATATATTTTCTATGGTTGTTTACACTTCTGAATTTATTGTTTCTTAAATATTTTGTTTGTACCTCTGAGTTTCGAATTTTAAATAAATTATTTGTACATTTATTGCAAATGTTAATTTTTACTTGATCCTGACTCTTGGCTAATAGTCATTGTCTTACAATTGGAAGGCTCTTTTGGAGACATGCGGTTTATAAATACAAAACAATGATGAAAGGTACGTATTAGCATTTGTGCCTTGGTCCAGCTGAGGCACTTAATGGTCCATTCTTTCAGTGGTGAAGACGGTAAGAGTAGGATACTCTAAATCTATACACCAATTTACTAGTAGATCCCACAGGAACTGGGATTCTTGACTCCTAGCCCTTTGTTTCAAACACTGGCTCTCTCTTTCATGTTGTTAACTCCCTGTTATGTTTACAAGAGAAGATGTAGCACAGTATTCCCTACAGAGCTTTGCAGAAAGAGAATTAAGGCTATGGGGTTATCAAGAGAAATAGAATTTCAAACTACATTTTTCTCTTTTCTAGGAGTTAGCTGTGGTCAAATACCTGCTGCCTACTTAAATAAGACTATATAATCTTTTTTTCAGGGTTCACTAGATAAAGCAAGGTCCCAGTCCAGGAAGTCAGGTATCAAAGTCATGTTTTACTGCTGGACAGTCATCCTAAAGGTAAAAAACAAACATAACCTTTTTGCTAAACTCTTACTTCACACATAGAGATTAGTGGACATTTTTTGCAACAAAGAAATTAGCTGGCAGTTTCAAGCAAGATTATGCCAAAAGCTCTTCTACAAAAACATTTTGAACGATGGAAATGCACAGTGACTTCACCTCAAGATTTAAGAGCGTTGCTGTTTTCTCTGAGAGTAGAGTTAACACCTTAAAGCTGTACTATTGAATTTAAATGCTATGTGTAACAGGGAGTGTATCCTTAATGCTTCAAGTGCTTAAGGTGAAGGTCACTCTTGTCTCTGCTTTTAGAGTCACGTTTATAATAGGATCTGATGTTCAAATCTTCAGCTAGAGTTGGAAAATGCAAGTTTAAATATCTCTAGTGGGCAGACCCAATTATGATCAAATGGATACAGTATATAAGCACCTGAAGCAGCTATTCTTTTGCTAGCAGGACATAAGGTATCTTTCTCACTTGCTGTTTAAGATTCCTAGTTGCCTCACGCTCTCCCTTCTTTAGTTTAGCAGTGTTGATGCTAAGTTCGGCGTATATGCTCTGGGCAGCCTTTGGCTGAAATGGCTGTGGCCAAACCCTTTGTCTGCTAGAGAAGGGCTTGTGTTAGACCCAAGAGGGAGCAAAACTGCCTGGAGCAATGGGAAGCTGTGTTTCCACATGTCTCTGGCATAGGAAGTACAGCGTGGTTGACTGAGGAAGGACCTGCAGTAGATTTGCTGGCACAGAAGGGGAGTGCAAAGGCTGTTTGGTGCCAGTAGGTAGGTTCTCGGTAGGCTTTTGTGGAAGGACTTGAGGAAGCTGGAAGCTGATTCTCCTGGTAAGAGCTCCCTCCCTTTACAGGCACTGGATGATGTGAAAAGGATCCAGGCAGTACCAGATCAGCAAAAGAGCTTCAGCACTTAAGCCAAATGCCTCTGAGTCAAATGTACCTTAGCTGTTGCTGTGCCTAAAACCTGGGGAAGCACTGAACTTTGTGTGCACCATCAGGGTGAAACTGCTATTCTAGGAACTGCCAAGGGAGTGGTTTTACTTTCTTGCCCATAATTAAGGATGAGTTCAATAATCCCTGGTGCATTTTCTAAGGTACTATGTATTATTGATGTTTGTTTGCAAGTGGAGGACAGAAGGACAATATGATCAGTGGCCCAGCATAATTTCACTTTAATACATGTAGTTCTGGAAACAGAAATAAGGAAAGATTGATTCTTTGTCAGTATCTACCTTTCTACATTCATCTAAAAATTGCTACCAGGTATTTTTGGTGTGATAAACCAGAAGAGATGTACAGTGAAGCAAAGCACAGTGAATTTGAACCACAGAGTCTGTAGAAGAATTTGACGCATGAAGGAAGGAAGGGTGAACAAGAAATGGCTCTGCTCTAAAATTGATAAACTTACTGCAGAGAGAGAGAAAAATCAATACAAAGTATTTTTCAATATACAGCACTTTTTTTTTAGTGTTTTGCTTATACAGCCAAATGGTTTTCATTTCTTGACTGATAGTATATTGTACTAATAAAAGCCAGTGCCTGTTGAGTCTACAGCTTTCCATTTCTCTAGCACATAATCACCATTGTAACACGGGGAAAGGAAAAGTAGAAGTGGAATCACTTAACTCATTCTAAATAGCTGTGGCTGATGGGGGAGGGGAGGAGACAAAAATAAGCGTTTAATACTTATAATAGCTGCAAAATTATGTTTAGAGGAATACTTAGCAGCCTGGGGTGTGCGCCCTTATTTTTAACCTGTGAAGAAGCTAAGTCAGCTGAGTCATCTTTAGTAAAAATAAAAGATTGCGGAGCACAGGCCTTTAACCTGTACTCGGACAAATAATTGCTATCATTTTAATGTTTTGGAAAGGCATATTCCCAAACTTACTGAATGATTACAGGAGATGGGAAATCCAATTGCCGGTTGCCTGCTAGCAGATCTAAAATGCAATGTAGCTCTGATGCACGAGTGCCAAGTTCACACTGACCGCTAGCATCCCTTCAAGCGTTTTGAAGTCTTGCCTCTAATCCGATGGATTTTTTGCTCATTGTACTGTTCTGTATCTGTGTGCCTAATTCAACCCCTGCAGCTGGCCTGCTGGCCAGCCTTTGCTGGGCTATTTGCTTCACACAGCTTTGTACTCTTCATGTTTGCTTCGTATTGTTTGCGCTTGAGACGTGGCTTTTCCAGCTCCCTCCCATATCCCCCGGCAGACCCAGGCTGGCTGTGGCCGAAGCCTGCGTTGCGCTCAGGTCTTTGTCTTCACCTTGGAGCCTTGTTTCCCGGTGTGGTTTGGCAGCCAGGGGCCTGGAGGCGAGCCAGCGCTGCAATCTGGGCTGTAAACCTCGGCGCCACAGGTCGCGCGGGCCGTCACTTCCCTTAGCGCGTCTCAAAGATTACAGAGGCGGCTTTTTTTTTTTTTCCCCTGCTCGTTTACAGGCCTTTCTTGGCGAAAGAGATGCCCACGCGCTGGTTTTGTGATCGTTTCTTTTTTTTTTTTTTTTTAATGTTTTATTTCT